GCTATTATAGCCGAACAAAATTATTTTTAAAAATGAATTATAAATGTTTAAAAGTAATAAAAGGATTTTTTTTAATAGTTTTTCTTTTGACGCAAACATCCCTTAAACTTTAGAAATAAAGTCAATGAAGATTTAACGAAATATTCATAAAAATAAACAAAATAAAACCACCTTTACATAGTCCTAATTATAACAACAAAACAAAATTAAAAAATGCTGAWTATATTTTAACGTACCCTGCATATAAACAAAGCAAACAAGTTAAAAAAAGCACTTTATTTTATAAGATTTTAACTTGCTGTTTCTTAATAAACAATATCAAGTGTAATTTATTTTTTACAGCTAATTKTATGACGAATTTTACTAAAAACAAAGATATAATTTTAAAGCAAATTCATAAGGTTTACCATTAAGCATTCAAAGCGCAACACAGTATTTTTGCTTACAGCCCCAAAAATTAAAAAAATAAGAGTAATAAAAAACATGATTAGTTGTATAAATATAGGCGTACAGGCAACAGCTAATGCCGATGAAGCAACCTTATTGTGATTTTTGTTTGAAATAAAGTGTGAGCAAATTAAATTAATACAAAAAATTAAAAATTAGATAATGCTGTTGCATTTATAAATTTTGGTTTTAAGAGCTAGTAATGTAATTGCATAATTGTTTAAAAGTAATATATTTATTAATATAAGAAAAGCGTTAACAAAGAAGTAATTTAAGTAAAAATAAAAATTATTTTTTAAAGTACTTGTACAACTTAAATAAAAAATATGTTAAATTAAACAAAGAAATTTCAAAAAGAAAAATAAACCAATAAACATGTTATTTGAACGAATACGTAGACAGTTTTCTGAGCCAAAATTTGTAAAAGCAACAGCATTGATATTACCAAAAAAACTCATAATAAAATAAAACAAAATTAAATTGACAGTTTCCTTACAAAATAGAACTTTATAAAAGTAATATCTAAAATTTATATGACACATTAAAAATATATTATTAAACTAAGTTCATTATAAATCGCTATAAATAAAAAAAATATATAAAAAAATAGAACAGAAAGTATTCAAAAAATTATTACAAAAAAATCTGCAAAACAATTTATGAAAAAATACAAAAAGTATGCCACACTCTTATAATGTAATTTATAATAATTATACACATTAACAATGCTAACACACTACTGTTGTTAAAATACTTAAGTTAAAAGCTGCATTAATAATCATATAAAATTACTATATTTTTACTATAATACAAATTTAGCGGTTAGTAATAGGCAAGTGGCGTTGTGTGAATGGAAAAAAATTCAAATGGTCTATTGGAAAATTTGGAATTTGTTCAAACATTTTTTACGCAAGTTACAAATTTATATTGTTCAACTAATCTAAACAAAAATGTTAATTTAGTYTTTCGAATTTCAAATTTCGTGCTACGTTTAATTAAAAACTTTGTATCGAAATATCAATTCTGGATCACATAGTTTTGTTTTTGTTTGTTATGTTTTTTCATGAGTGTGAAGTAATGCATGAACTGATGTTTGAGAATAATAAAGTGCGTATTTTATAACTGTAAAATTGTGGATATTGTTACAACAAATGCTGATAACAAAATTGGATTTCTATTATATAGATATTTGTGCATTACAATATTAATATAACGCACGGCATTGTTTGAAACCAYACAATATACAAAATATGAAGTAATTAAAATAAATTATATTTAATAGGTTTTAATTGGAAGATTGTACACGTTAAAAAAATTTCACACACACAAATCATGCGAACCATTACCCAATAAAACTTTTTCTTTACTATTTTCAATTGATTTTTACTTTATTAATAAGATTCAGTTTCAAAATATTTAACAAATTTTCCACATCCATACATCTACACCATACCTACATAAACTTGTATATCTATATTAGAAACTTATAATAATATTGATTATAATTACAAATGCAATAAATATATTATAAAAATTCAAAAAAAAAAAATATTCTAGAATTACTTGAATAAATAAAGGTATAAACATATATATTACAAATAATGTTGTTTTATTTGAAAATGGGATTTCTTGAAACAATATATGATCACAGAAAATATCTGCTTACATATTCGGGCGTTTTGAAAACTCTACTGACATTTTATGTTGCAAATTATTTGAAAAATTAACTCAGGGGAGCTCAAATGCAATAAAATATAACAAATGTAATTTCCAACAGGGAAACTCTGCTCAAAAACGCAAAAAATGTATGCAGTGTTACTAAATCAGTAGTAGCCAAAGAGCGAAATATATATTAAAAATATATCATTATTATTAAATAATAATATATTTGTATATTTACGACTATATTCAGAGAACGTATAATATTATGTTTTCTGATATAAACTGACAATTTATTTGTGGTATATTAATTTTATTATATAAAAAAAAATTAACATTGTTGACACAACTGAAGCACGATTTTTCATAAATATACATATAAATATGGCAACGCTAACAACAGCTGATTTTCAGTTGTCAAAATCTGACAAACAATATTTTGTGCTGTTTTGCTGCTACCATCGAATACCAATTGGAGAAAAGGTTTGAACCACTTTCCGACTTTTTAGTTATTTTAAAAAGCGAGTTTGCAATTTAAAGTATCAACGAGGTATGCCACGAAGTGACAATTATACAAATATAGAACAGTTTGCAAGCGTTTCCATGTTATTAACAAAAGTAAATAGCTTGTAAAATTATATAACCTTGCTGTTAATACTGGGCGAACCCGCGATATTTTAATAAAATTTCATTTAGAAATTAGCTACAGAGTTTACATAGCATATCTCCCATTGTAGCAATAAAAAATCATGGGCGGACACGGACATGGTGAACCCTACAAAGTGCCACATCCATCAATTTACAAAGTGGAAAATATTCCCAAGTTACGCGAAGTGCAAGAAGCGCTAGCTCGTCAAGGTTTAAAGGATCCATGGTTACGGTTAGTATTCGCTAAGAATACAAATAATAATAATATATCACTCTTCTCTAATTTTAGAAATGAAGTGTGGCGTTATGAGCCCAGCAAAATGGGCACACATGCTAGCCGTGCACGCGCTTTCTTCCTACGTGGTCTACTGTGGGGCTCAATTGCTGCCGCCGTGCACATTGGTTGCGAATATGCTTTTAGTTCGAAAGATGATCACGGCCATGGACATGGTGATGGTGAACACTCTGAAGGTGCCCATCATTAAACACTG